ATTATATGACACAGTTATCAACAAGGACAATAGCAATGAATGGTATGAGCAATATATTATTAAATTTGTATATCTTTGTTAAATGTGTCTAATATTCCACCATCATTTAGTTTTGAAATTCTGTTAGTCTTATACTATATGTTATTCAATTCTGAGGCTTAATATAATTATAACACATTCCAGATAAATTCACAAATATTATCGATGACCTTTTAATTAGGTACTGTCTCAAATCTCATTATTCCATCATACGCTGATGAGAACATTTCTCCAAGACGATCTACTGAAAGTGTTCGTGAGAGGCCAAAACCACCATTGACAAACCAGCGTACCGAAAGATTTCGATCGTTTTCATATTCTGATGCATCACCATCATCAACTATTCCAGAATCATCTAGTTGTCCGTCATCACCTTCTTCGATAGCAAAGCAACATATACCAATTGTATATCCGGCTTTACTTTCACGAGTTGCAGAAGCATTTCGTGCACGAGTTACTTTATCAAATAGGATGAAGGACAATCTTGAGTATAAAGATTGTTTCGATGGAAGAGAGGCCGTGGTATGATGTTATATAATTGTTTATTAAACCGTCAACATTTTGTTTAACATATACTCTTGTGTTTTGAAATTCCTTTAAAGGACAAGATTGCGTTTATCATCAAAACAACGGATAGAAATTTGGCACTTTTGCTTGGTCGAGCCTTTGATTCTCAGAAGTTTTTCCATGATGTTACATATGATCATAGACTTCGCGATTCTCCAAACGAGTTATATCAATTTCAAAAAATGCCTTCAATATTATCATCTGAAAATTATGAGCTTGAAGATAATGAAGAAGATGCAGAAGAAAATGATCTACCAAATGGTGTATTTACTTTATTGACTGATTGCTATTCACCTACATGTTCTCAATATAACTTATGTTATAGCATTGCTTGTCCTCGTAGATTGGAACAAGTACGTATTTTCACGTAAATTTATATTTTATTGTTTAATACATTGCTGCTGATTCACTTCTATTCTAAAATATTCTAAAAAAAGCACGCTAGGAAAAATATGAAGCCAAATCCAGGACTAAAAAGATCAGTTAGTCGTGGATCAATCTCTGATAAAAAGGTACTTGATTTAGTAATTGTTTTTAGAAGAAACATTTCTTACTAATAATAATTATGATCTAGGATCAGAAGTTATGGATTCATTCGGTTCCGGCCGAAATTGCTAAATCAGTATCGGAAACGGAGAAAAAGCGCCAAGAAGCCATAAATGAAGTAATATATACGGAAAAAGATTTTGTTCGTGACTTGGAATATCTGAAAGATGTAAGTTAATACATTTACATCTATATTTGTTTGTCGCTTTGTTATTAATTATTGTACTATTTTAGTGCTGGATAGATCCTCTCATGGAACAAAATGTTATACCTGAATCTTATAGGGAAAAATTTGTTGAAGAAGTTTTTTTCAATATATTGGAAGTTCATGGTGTTAATGTCAAATTGGCCGATGCATTAGAAAAGCGTCAAAATTCGTTTGCCATTGTGGAACAAATTGGAGATATATTTTTAGAATATGTTCCGCTGTTTGATCCGTTCATTAAATACGGTGCCCATCAGTTACGGGGCAAATATGAGTTTGAAAAAGAGAAAAATACCAATCATGAATTCGCAAAATTTGTTGAGGTAACGTTTATATTTTAAAGTTTATGTCATTATATTGTAATAGATTATTGAAATTATTTACATTTAAATCTTTGTTATAGGAAACTGAGCGGCGTCCTGAATCTAGAAAACTTGAGCTTAATGGATATTTAACCAAGCCAACAACACGACTTGGTCGTTATCCATTACTTTTAGATGCGGTTCTTAAACAAACTCCAAAAGACCATCCTGATCGTATTAATTTACCAAAAGTGATTAATATTATCAAGGAATTCCTTACAAATGTAAACGTTGAATCCGGGAAATCCGAGAATCGTTTTCATTTACAGCAATTATATGACCAATTAATTCCAAAAGGAATCGAACATATGGTAATATAATTTTAATTATTGTTAACGAAAAAACAAACTTATTTCTATTATTTTTTGACATATTTTAAATATATTCAAAGGATCTTAAATTGACAGAGGAAGGACGTCAGCTAATTTTCAAAGGTTCTTTAAAGAAACGAGGGGGTGGCGGGGAATCGTCTGATCTACAGGTGTTTTTGTTTGATCATGCATTACTCATGGTTAAGGCTAAAACCATGAATAAAGTTGAACAATATAAAATTCATCGGAAGGTATCTATATCATTTACAAATATATTTAATGATAAAATTTTTTTATCATCATCCTTTGATATTCGTTTTTTATGTGCATAGCCAATACCTCTTGAATTTCTGAGCGTATCTGCAACAGAAGGATCATATGAAAATCGTGTAAATCCAAGACGACCTCAATCTATTTTACCCGGAAAAGCTCCAGCAGTAGTGCGCGGTAATCATGACAGACAATTTGCACTTACATTTTGCCGACTCGGAAAAAAGTCATTTACCATAACGTTATATGCTCCTACATTTATCAGTCGTAAAAAATGGATTGAGCATATTGAAAGACAGAGAGAAATAATTAATGACAAGAGTAAAGTTTTTGAAAAAAACATTTTATTAGAAAAGAAGACTTTTTTTGGTCCAAGTAAAGTTATCTGTGGTGCTTTTTTTGGTAAGTTATTTGTTAATTATGTTTTTTATAATACAGATTAATAATAAACTATTGTACCTAGATGATTACCGCAAATTAGCTTTTGGAACAGATCTTGGAATATATGTGTTAGAAATCGGCCCAAACGCAAAACCTGCATTTCACGCAATTCAAATAGAAAAAATATCTCAGATTGATATTCTTGAAGAATTTCATTTATTGTTAGTATTAGCAGGTATATTGACAATTACTTTAGGTATAAAAAATATAAACAGATTTAAAATACAATCATTTCCTCATAAATAATTATCTTCATAGATAAAAGTCTTTATTCGTATCCGCTTGAATCATTGGATCCTAATAAGTCAAAAGAAGCAACTAAAAAGACAAATAAAATCAGCTCACATGCCAGTTTTTTCAAGTCTGGAACTTGCCTTGGAAAAACCTTGGTGACTGTTGTAAAAACTAATGCTCTTAATTCAATTATTAAGACACTTGAACCTATTGAGCAAAATACAAAGAACAAAAATAAAAGTCCACTAAAGCTTTTGAGTGGAAGAAGTAGTGATTCATTAAAAACATATAAGGTAGCGTTATCAGATTAAAGGTTTTGGATCGGTTGAGTATAGTGGGATTGAAACTTCAAAGTTTATACTTAATTTATATGTTTAATCTTGAACCTTTCAGGAATTTTACATTCCAACGGAATTAACGTCTGTAAATTTCCTTAACAAAAAGTTATGTGTGGGATGCTCTGCAAAAGGATTTGAGGTGGTTGATTTAGAAACACTTATCACACAAAGTTTAATTGATCCGGATGATGTTTCACTCGATTTTGTGCGAAAGAAAGAAAATATTAAACCAATTGCCATTTATCGAATTTCAGGAGGAGACTTTTTATTATGTTATGATGGTAATTGAAGTTAATCGCTATTTTGGATTTTAAATTTTTAATTATTTCCCTTTAAATGCATTTTAATTCTTTTTCTTTTTCAATAGAATTTGCCTTTTATGTTAATAAGGTTGGATGGCGTTCACGACCAGATTGGTTAATAACATGGGAAGGATCCCCGACCTCTTTTGGTGTGTTATAATGTCCTTTTTCGTATCTTGGATTTTCTTTTTTCCTTCTCTAATATTATATATATAATTTTTATTATTATAGCTCTTCGTTATCCTTATGTGCTTGCCTTTGAACCATCTTTTATCGAAATTCGCCATGTTGAAACTGGCCTTCTTGAACAGATTATTGAAGGACATAATATGCGTTGTTTATATTCTGATTCACGTGGCAATATTTTAGTTGTTACGACAGATCAGGCAACAGATAGTTCCGAGGTTTTTTCGTTGAAACTCGTTGATGGTAAAAGTAGTTCTTTAATTTCTGCGGCAACAAGCATAGCCACAAGTGTTTTAGGTTATGATGCAAGACATGTTAATAGTAGTTGATACATTAAAGTTATACGACCGTGTGTTTATATTATCATGATAAAAGGCTTTTATATATCTTCCCTCTCGTAGTTAGTATTAATTTTTAATGAAATTATTATAATAAACTTTTTTAGTTTCTTTGTGGGCTTGGTGGATATTTATTTTGGTGGGATTTTAAAAAGCTTAGAACTTTTTGTATTCATTCATTTCAATTTTTGTAATTTTTTTCCTGTATTTTTTTTTTTTTTCAATTTTGAATTTTTCATGATAGAAAATTTGTGCATTATTTGTGATATATTATTTTTATTTCTATTTTTATTTATTTTTTTTTTTTTATTTTTTTTTTTATTATTATTATTATTATTATTATTATTATTACTATCGTTATTATTTTGATTATCTTTACCTTAGCTCTTGACACTCTTCGATTATATATATAAAGTTGAACAAAAAAAAAAAAATTTATTAAAAATAATTTAATATCTATTATTTATTTATTAGGATATGCTGATTTTAGTAATGATTTGGATGGTATATGTGATATCAAGATTGACAATTTTTATTTAACTAGTTAACTAAAGCTAGTTGATCTTAAATGATTATTTTTATTTATTTTTTTTATTGCAATATATAATATATGTAATATAAATATAATAAATATAATGTCAGGTAAATGAAATACCAAAAATATATATATATAAAAATATATATATATAAGGGATATATATATATTAAATTTCAAATAAATTTACTATAATTATAATAATGAGAGTAATACAACTGTAATGTTGGTGAAAATTTCTATAATACAAGTTAAATATGAATATCAAATATGATAAATACAAAAAACGGAATCTGGATTAAGATGAATACCAATGAAAAGTTCGTTCAGCGATGCGTCCCTTTCATACTATCGTTTCTTCTTATTTGAGCCAATACTAGTTGAAAAACGTATTGTGTGTCGTTAAAAGGATGTTGCATCACTGCATGTATTGCATTCCTACCCGAAGAATTATCATTCAAGCATCGCAGATTTTTGCCTGGAATGACTTGACATAATTCTCCCTAAATGATGTAAATTACAAATTAAAAGCCCAATATTAATAAATATTACTAATGTAAGAACGCGCCATCGGTAATTAAGATGAAGAATAGTTTAGCTTACATTATGCACGTCCCGAATTTCAATGAATAAAGGATTAAAGCCGATGACATAAGGTAATTGTAACGCTGAAAAGAGCATAAAATAGAATTTGTTAAAAAAAAAATTCAAATTTAATTCAAAAAAAAAACAATTCTATTCAACACCCACCAACTGCTTCGGGCTTGCCTTCCCATGGCACTACCGTAGTCCGTGATAATTCGCCATGTTTATCAACATAAAAGAATATTTCTAAGATAATATGAGAAATAAAGTTAGGCCTTATTATTTACAAATTGTTGAACCGCCGACAACTAGCTTACCGTCGTAACACAACAGGAATTCATTAGAGTAACTTTCATCTAATCTAAACATCCCCAGAGGTTTGGAATTGTCACATCTTCGTGCGATATTTGAGAATTGTGGATGAGAAAGGTCTGGTATTGTTCCATTTTGAAGCGACTCTAAATTAACGATTTCAAAACCGCGCGTACAAGTGACACATAACCTTGACCTCAAGAAATTTACTGAATAAGATTCTGACGGAACATAAAATTGCTAATAAAATAAAAATAAACATAAAAATATTTTCAAATGTGGATTTGGGCTCGTGTCATTCAAATTAAAATAAAGCAAATAAAGCAATACCTTATATTCTTTGAACCAATCATTTCGCATCTGAAACATGCCCTTACGTTGACCGGTTGTTCCAATGGGTTCTAAAACCTTAAAATGACTTTCTAGTCCTTTCTTTTTCATGAAAACAAGGAAAGTACGGTCTCTAATAGTGCCAACATTGAAATATTGAATGTTACTGCTAGCTAATCTTTGACGAGTCTGAGTTCGGCCAGATGTATTGGTGCTTGTGGATGATGGAATCAACGATTCTAATGAATAAGCCCATAGCGCTTTGTCTATATAAAGTAGGTAATTAATTATCATTTTAATTGAATACTTGAAACCAATCTTGTAATTTTCTAAACTCACCAACTAATACAACAAAAATTCCAAACTCTTCAAGCACCGCCATTTGCATCACATTACCGATACCCGTCAAAACTGGACGAAATGTCTTGGTTTCTCCTCCAAATCCCATCCATACACCATCTTCCGTTCCAATAGCAACCATGTTACGCTTTTCGGGGGTAACTATAAATATTATCAAACCATTCCTAGTTCATTATATATGAACTTTAGAAATAATTGGATACTTTTGAAAAATTAACTTACCAAAAGGGACGGAGCAAGTTACTTTGACTTTTGATGCATTCGTTGAATGTGATCCTCCAGGAGTCGCAATTGAAGCTGTCCCGAATGTCGCATCGTTCAATGTAAATAATTCAAATACTTGCTGACTTGCCTTACTTAATTGAAGCTTAGTTTGTGCCTCCGCAATCTTATCCTTCCACATTCTACGAGTATTAGCAGAATCTGCAAATAACTGGTAGGTTCCCCCGTTACGACCGATATGAAGGATTGTGAAAGAGTGTAAACTCGGTCGACTTAAAAGATTTTCGGGTGCTTCAAGATCGGTAACAGCAACGAGAGGCGTGGCGGGTGAATTTTGACCCATACTATTTGTTCTTTTTCGATTGTCAAGCGCGCTACCAAGGTTAGGGAAAAATGTGGATTTATTGGGTTGAACAATATCTGAACCCGAATCTACAATAAGCATATCTAAAGGAATCGGCTTTAAAATAAAATAAATTATATCAGTGCGTTTAAAAATAATAGTAATAATAATAAATTATTTATATAATATACTTTTTTCGAGACTATATATCTGACTTCTCCATCAGCACCTTTCTTTGGTTTTGTCATCACCAAATAATGATCAAAAAGAAAAACATATAGGTCCAGCCATTCGAGACCTAAGTCTGCCTTCTTTTGTAATTCTCCCTTAAATATCAATTGTCGATTTGGATCCGAAAGCTTAAGCTCAGGCTAGAAATAAAAAAGGAAATAATTTACAAATTTTAATATTATGGAATCATTAATATATAAAGTTGTTAAAGTTAGGAACGAAAACACGAACACATCGATCGTTGTTCTTTTTCACTAGTTTCCGTTCCAGTTCTACTATTCTCAATCGTTTTTCAGCTTCGTGAACTCTATTATCACTTTCCCTACATAATTCTCGAATTTTTTGCAAAGCATTTTCCAAAACTTTTTTATCATGATTATCATCTGCCGTGTATTTAATAATCTGTTCAAGTAGCAATGTGTACCGTTGTAAACGTTGTGTCGGTCTTTGAACAAAGTGACGGAAATCAAGTTTACGTGCTTCAGGTTTTCGTGTACATTGCTATGATTTAAATTATTACATTAGTAAATCTCAGTAATTTTTTAATATAATAAATAAATATGTAGATATAACAAAAAAAAGTTTAAAATAAAGAAAGATTAAATATTATAATCTTTACGATAACTATCAAATAATTTTTTTTTTTTTAACAAAAAATTATGAATACTATTGCTTACCTCCAAAAAACGTTTAAATTCTGGATTTCTCGCTTTCTCGATTTTTATGGTATTATCAGCATGAGGAAAATTCCCATTATATGTTACGTAATCATTTCCAAACTCGAGTGCACATTCTAAAAATATTTCACCGATATTGTTTACTACATAATTTTCTTTCTGCAGTTTTTGCAAACGTCCTAGCATGACTTTGTTGTGTTTCCTGATTTCGAAAACGTTATAAAAAACGTCTTGAATGAAATTATCAAGATCAGGCGGTGGAATTATGGGAGTTGGGGATGAACGAAGCCCTTGAACATATAACTACAGTGTAAAAAAAAAATTAGTCATTTGAAATGATTAATTAAGGTCAAATCAAATTACTAATTTCGAGTATAAAGAATGTTTACCGTATCTAAAAGATCTAAATCCTTTACATAATCATCTTCCGTATATATAGTTTCGAATATAATCTCTTGACGTTTCTTCTCATCTTTGGAGACGCTATCCAATATTTCTTTCGGAACGGAGCTTATCCAAGTACGTTGCTCCTGCGATGCCGCTTGAACCTTGAGTAACCAAACATTAAATATAATAAAATCAGCATAAAGAAGCATTCTTTGTTTATGAAGGAAAAAACATTTTGATTCAATTAAAATAAAATTTCGAATTCTTTTACCTGTGAATCAGTGGGACCTGCAACTAGATCAACCGGTGTGCTTGGAATAAGCGAAGGGTCAGGTTTAATTTCATTCTGAAGTGTTGCGATAAAAAAGATATATTTGACTTTAGAATAACGAATAATGTCAATTTCTATCGTTATTTATGAACCATAAAGAAGTTGATAAAATAGGTTAATAATTACCACGCCAGGAACATAGTTCGAACAAGTCCTGGAATAACATCCTTTACCATCAATACCACAACGTGGACTATAGCACTTCGAAACGGCGGGAAATACACCGGTGGGAAAATCTTCATCCCATTCCCATAACGTCTGTGATCCGGGGTCAGGGTTAAGGAATGCGTAAACCTCGTCTTTATTATCATTAATAACAGAAATTGTTGCCCAATTTATCGAATGGAAGTAGAGTTGTGCTTCTAATGAACGGGCCATAGACAAAGCCACGCGACGTGGAATATCACATGGTAAGAGAGAATAAATTGTATTCTAAAGTAAATACATTAAAGGTTAGTTAATTGTATTGAAATTTTTTGAAAAAAAATAATTGATAGATAATTATTAATTGATTAGATATTTACCACAGCATCTATACCAGTAAAACTTTCTGGGTACTCCAAAGCACCTTTTACGTGGGTACCCAGGTTTACAGTGGCACGAAAAGCTAATGCTATATTGGATAGTAATGCTGGATCCATTAAACCATTGATACCATTTGCATATGATTTTTTGGCGGGTGCTGAACTAGAATTTGAATTTGAAGTCCGATTTTTTACTTGAGATTGATATGGAAAATAAGATAAAGGGATCCCAGAGGCGGCGGAAGGGAATTGCATAAATTGACTGGAAATCAAATTTAAAGATCTTGATTATTATAATTTTGATTTATTTACAAAATATCTATAGGAGTTAAACACTGACCTGTAATCTGACTCAACCGGATAAGCATCGTAAGGATCATTAGGTAGTGACTGAAATACATTTTTTAATCATTAATTAGAAACTTTGATTACTTTAAAAATAAAGATCATATGAGGTAACTTACCGGTATGGATGGGACACTTCTTTGCGTCTGGTTTTGCTGCTCGTTATGATATGGAAGAGGAGAAGTTACTGCCGATGCATATGAATGAAAATCAGGCATTACAATAGGAGTTGCTCCAGGAATTGAAGAGGTTGCGTAACTTCCTCCGTAATTATATTGTTGATTAGCATATGGTAAGGGAGCTTGATAAGGTGGGTTTGACATTGGAGGGTTCGGCAACGGTCTCGCAGGAGGACTTGGATAATGCTGCGTACTTGTATTGGGCCAACCTTGAGAGGTAAGGTCACGAGGAAAGCTAGAATAGTAATTATAATTTGAATAAAATGGCGCACTACCATAAGGTTGTTGCACTTGTGGCATTGAACTAGTATTATAAGCTTGTTGCTGCGAGTGACCATAAGGTGGTTGTGGGCTGTATTGCTGTTGATATGAATTCACAGGACCGTGAACATTATATGAAGCTGCATTTTGTTGTGAACGATTTGTCATTGAAGAATTTCCGGAAGTGCGCCGAGTAAGGTTTTCTACACTTGAAGAGGGAATTTCTGTGCTAAGCCTACTTGAACGATGGCTTAAATTTATCGGTTCGATTGAAGGTGAACTTATTACATTTAAAGGAGCTGAGCTTGTTGGCTGATTCCAACCAGGATTATTTAAGTGAGAAGGATTATAAGTCTCCTGTGAAATTGTTAACTCCTCGTCAATCAAATTTAATAAATGATCGATGTCATTGGCATTTTGAGGTCTTCCTTGGCTACTTGGTTTTGGAGGAATTGGTGGTGGGGCATCATGAGTGGCCGACATTTTTTTAAATTACGGTTGTAAAATAATTTGTAAAAGGTTAAAGTACCTATGGTATTAATATTTGTTTCTATACCTTTATAATATTTATTTGGTTTTTTAGTGAATTTTTTTTATTGCGGGTCACAAATCAGTTATTGTAATACCTTGGTTTGTGCTTTTCTTGGAATACGTCACGATTAATCGATTATCCATTTCTTTTGACGGCACAGTAACGAAAAATCTTTTTTTTTTTTTTTATTTTTAATAATTTGATATCATTTAGACAAATTTTTTTATTTTTAAATTTTTTTTGATATGTTTAATTAATTAATCGATATAAAAAGGTTAAGATTTAAGTTTAGGTTTTGGTTTTAATTGAATTTTTCAAATCATAGAAGGTACTACTGCCTCGGCGCCCCTGTACGATCATACAGGTTTCGCAACAATTTCGAGGGGGTGATTACCTAAAACTAAAACCAGGAAAATTGTAAAAATTATATCTAAAAAATTCACGGCCGAGAAGACATAATGGGAGGAGACGTAATTTCCAAATTGATCATTTGGACTAACCAAACCCGGATAACAATGTCTAAAATAATATTATTGTAACATTATGGCAAATATTTTTTTTTTGATTTTAGGTAAAATTGATTTAGATTTGTATATATATACAAAATAAATGAATCGCGATTTTTTTTATTTAAATTTATCACGTGACTTATGTTTTAATTACATTAATTACATTCCTTGATAATCTCCTCTTGGAAAATAATTTTTTCACTTCTTTTTTAACAAAAAAAAATTCAAACGAACCTTGATGCGCCACGAATCGCGGATTAATCGTTATATATTCTAGAATCGAAATCTTAATTTTCCATTTTTCGCACGTGACATTCTTTTTCCTGATAATCTCTATACGTATATTATATATATTATTTCCCTTCTCAAAGAAAAAAAAAAAAAAATTAAATGTCGTAGGGATGATTGCTTTGAAATTCTCTCGTTCATAATATTGTAGTGTATATATATATATATTTATCTTCTATCTCCTTCATTATCTTCAATTGTTGCTCATTTTTTTTTTAAAAAAAAAAATTTTTAGAAGCGTAGACATTTTGTTTTCACGCTCCGTGCCTCCATTGATACGGATAATTATATTACTGGAAAATTACAACTCTTTATATGCCTCTACGGAAAGCTCGCTACTCTTTCCATAGAACTTTGATTACCGGTATTCACTTTCACTCTTCACTTTATAGTAAAAATTTGTTGTTTTGCTTATACAGACTATTCACTTCAAATGCGAGAACCATAAAGCAAATCCGTGAAAATAGCTTTGCCGTTTTCGCATTTAAAACCCTCCAATGCGGTAACACCCGTACGAATGCATTAGACGCATTAGACGTAAATGGTTCATATAGGTGTTGTATCACGCGCGTCTTTCTTCGACTCGGACATTGCAAAAGAAAACATCACGTTTCATCAATGAACTTTATAATAACCTCTCATAGGCAATTCTCAAAGTTCACTGTATTAAGTTCTAATTCAACACATGTTCACACCAATGTTACGAATTTAAGCTACAAAAAGGATGATCCGTATGACGCAAAGGTTTCGAAGGTGGTTCACCACCTTGAAGAGACAAATGGCAAGCCAAACTTGTCGGATGACCCTTTAAAAGGAAGGATCCTTGGGGATGCAAAACTTTGTTCGTTTAATGAGAGTGTGAAAATAAAGCACAGTAAAGATTCATTAAATTATAATATTCTTACCGAACATTTATACAAGTTTAGAGACGACCCTTTAAAGGTTTACGAGATCTACACAAACGTTTTAAAAAGTGGGCTATTGAATTACATCAAGAGTCATCATTTGACATTGTTTCTTCATATCATTTGTAATTGTACAAACGAGAAGAGATTTGAATGGCTCATTCGGATTATGAGAGATGTTCATTCTTTTAATTTAAAGAATCGGATACCATATAATGTATATAAGAGGATATTACATAAAATGGTGGAACTGAGTGATCATAATGATTCGTTGTCGGAGATTCTTGATGCGATAGCCGAGAAGAACGCTTTTTATGGGAGGATTGATGCATACCGTATTTTAGTGAATATATACTGCGAACGAGGGGATGTGAAAAAAGCCTTGTACATTCTCAGGCAAATAATTTTATTCGGTCAAGTACCTAGAAAGGGGTTGTATAGCGCATTGATTCACGAATTATGCAAGCAAGGGAAATTGGAAACAGCGGAAGAGTTATTGGAAGAATTTGAAGAATATTTGGATACCCCAGACATCTTTTTATTCACGTCTTTAATTTCTGGGTATGGTAAAAAGGGTGAGATCAACAAGGTCAAAAAAATCTTTGAGAGGTTACTTGGGCTTGGTATCCAACCGGACAAGGAACTGTACACAACCGTGATCTTTTCATTCCTTTTGAATGGGGATGTCCATAGTGCCTACGAATTTTACGAAAAAATCCTTGAACAAGATATAGATCATGATAGTTATTTATATGCTTCTCTAATCTACATGAGAGCGATTAACTCCGACTCCGCGAACGCAAGGAAAATCTTTGAAAAAATGAGGGCATCAGGAATAACGCCAACCACGGAGGTTTATAATCATCTCATGTATGCCTATAGTCGAGACAATTCGATTGACACCTCACAGATTGAGGATTTATATCTGCAGATGCTGGGTGATAGGGTGAAACCAAATCATTATACGTACGAAATCTTAATTGATGTCATGTGCAAAAGGCACGATTTTTCAAAGGCATCTAAATTTCTCGGCGAGATGCAAAAGAATACTCCAATAACCAAATTCGTCTTGAATTCTATAATCCGTCATAAAACTTTATCAGAAAATATCGATCATGCGATACGATTGTACAAGCAAATGATCTCTGTTGGCGTAGAACCAGATTTATACATTTATACTTCAATCATTTCCCTTGCAACGGTTTCTTCAAAGCATTCAATGGCTATCAAGGTCTTTAAAGAACTTTTGGAAAAGGGTCACAAACCCAATTTGTATGTTTATTCGGCTTTGATTACGTCTTTGGTAAAAGCAAAGAAGCCTCAAATGGCAATAAGAATTTTTCAACAGATGGTCAGGGATAACGTGTCACTTAACCATGTACCATTTACCGCATTGATTCAAAGTTTCGTTATGACGAAAAGATTAGAAGATGGCAAAAGGTTATATGAAATGATGAAAAAGTTGAATCTGAAGATAGATCGACTCGTATATTACCATTTCGAAAAACTTATTAAACGAGCTAAACACGAAGAGGAACTTAAACATTTGTATGAGGACATAAAAAGTCGTGGGTTAGATCCAAAAAGTCGTGATAGGATATATACAAAGGGCAAAGGACCAAGCCATTGGAAATTAAAATTTTTGATCCGGAGAAGAATTTTGCGACAAGATTTATACAAATCCTTAAAAATCAAAATGGACAAATAATTGTTTTTGTATATATAACATAATCATATAAGATCATTTACTGTTACAAATTAATCATAATTTCATAATGTATTAAATTTATTTATATTAAGGTTTAAATCAATCGGTAGTTTCAATTCTATTAATAAACGTTTGCTTTTTTAATTTTTTTTTTTTCGGTAAGAAAAATTACTACATAGAATTAAGTTGCTTACCAAACATCCGGATCAAGAACACATGTATTTGTATCACAATACCGCTCTATCTCTGGATCAGACTTATCCTTTGACTGAAAATTTTGGAAATCAACTTTTAAATTTTTTTGTTTCGCGCCAGTGATAGTAGAGGTTGGAGTTGATTGTGGTAGAAGAGACGATATTATGTTCTCGTATTGTTCAGAACTAATAGCTTCTATTGGCATTTGAGCATAAGCACCCAAAGGCATTCGTGGAAGAAATGATATTCCTTTTAGAGTATCAAAACATTTATATAGAGAAGAAAAAAAAAAAATATGGTTAGTCACGGTGCAAATATAAAATCCAATAACAAAAATGATCTTGGTGGTCTTATTAAATTTTATAATACCTTTTAGTTGATATTGAAAATAATCAAGTGCATATTTAAGCTGAGGTCCTTCCGTCTCGGGGTCAAAAGTTACTGTACAACTGACCTGATTATCGGACCAATATTTTTGCAAGAATGCTGCCAAACTCAATTGTTCCCACATGGATAATTCTTTCAAACTTCTAATACCTTCCCCATGATCAATAGGTATTTCGACTACTAAAGAACTTGATTCCACCACATCTTGTTCAATTTTGAATCCAATCTTTTCAAGTGGGTCAATTAACTCCGAGTTTTTAGAAAGTCGTACGCGTCGAATACAGTATCTTGATTCAGGATAATGCATTCCAGGTGTCGCTTTTTTTTAAAAAAAAAAAAAAAAACAAAAAGGGAAAGTCAACACTAGGATAATTATAAGATCATAAGGTCATAAATTAGAATACCTCCAGCTAGTAATGAAACGGTACCACTCGGCTTAATTGTTGTGGTTTTGATAGAGTTGGGTACACAAAACCATTTAGAAATCCTAGAGACCCAAAGCGTTAATAGATTTCATAAAGTATTCGCTCTAATCTAAATAGCATATCCTTACTCTTTATCAACATTCTGTATATGTTTGTAACCCTCTTCGCACCAGGTTTTCAATTCCGCCAATCCTACAAACGCAAATTTGTTTTAACCAATAAAAATTCAAATAAGCAGGTACCTCGTTGACTGATAAATTGTGCAACGCCGCTTAATCCACATCCAATTCGACGGTTTCTTAACATGATCGCATTACTCTGTGGCCAATGGGTCCTCTCAAGAGTTACAGTTTTTGCGTATAAGAATGCGCTATATAACGTATCCAAGAAATCGTCCAATGACGTGTGATTTGTCGGAAACGTTTCCACCAGGCAACATAATTCATATGACTCCAGTGTTTGCTCCAAACATGGATTCCCACCTTGGGCATACATGTCTTTATGATCCTATGTATTTCAATTATAAATATCTCC